GAGATTTGATGAAGAAATAGAAGAGTAGAACGTTTTGTGTGTGTGTGTGTGTGTGTGTGTGTGTGTGTGTGTGTGTGTGTGTGTGTGTGTGTGTGTGAGTGTGTGTGTGTGTGAGTGTGTACTAACCAACGAAAAGACCATGGACTTCAGGAACATTTGCCGCTCTCAAGAGGATGTCAACCCATTTTAGTGTCCATCTTGTCTAGTTCTATCACCCAAAAGCAAATTTTTCGAAGTAACGACCTAGATATGACCATTAATCGGAGTCAGACACCAATTTTGACAAACCAGTTGCTCAAACTCCTGGATGACCTTATGCTGGTATACCCTGAAGTGTAGCCAGAAACCCCACGGTATTGAGAATCGCTGCCACAGACACACGATGACAAAAAGATGTTAGAGTATCTAGATCTATAAAGTCTGATATAATTTATGCCCCCTCCCTCTTTAAAAAACAAATAAATGAATAAATAAAACAGTGCCAAATTGGTGAATGTCACCTATCATTGAATCCTGTATGTCAGCAAAAGCACTCAGTATGCATCGTGGCCACAGAGGACCCGGGGTAGCTAAGCAAAAACAAAAGAAGACTAATAATAATAAACATTGGACCACACACCACAGTGTTTTAAAATATATTATATATATATATATATATATATAAATAAATATATATATTTTTTGTTTTTTTTTTTCCCCCCCCCCCCCCTCCCCTCCTTTTTTTCCTTCTGAAGATGGTGAGGTTGGTGGCCATGTCATAGTGACGTCAGCTGGTGTCATGAGCGTGCCAACACACAGTAGTCTGCCTACATCAGTTCGTGTGTATGTATGTATGCTCTGTCTGGCTATCTGTGATGCAAAGCTTTGGAGAGGAGGAAAGAGAGAGAGAAGGAATGAAAGAGTGAAGAAGCGCATGCGCAGAGCCTATCTTTGCGTTCATTGGCTGAAACAATAATTATGCAGCTCACTAACGTCGGCCTAGGCCTAGTGGTGGGCGCCTACCGAATCACGTGACAAAAGTCCGCCATATTTCGCCGTCAGCCCAGTGAAGCTGTCATGTGTGACTCGCGTTTTTATGTAAAGTTCTAATATTGTGTTTATTCTAACATAATTTTGACTGGTAAGAACATTTTATGATTTTATGGCCTCATTTTGATGTGTACTTTTTAATTTTCTTAAATTTAGAGGGGTATGTTGTCGATATCTTAGACGATACTTTTTGATGGGTTACTACCCCTGTCTTCTGCCAGTGCAACGCATGACGGGACGGTGTGGGTATTTACCACCGGGTCGGTAATCGCTTTTAGTTTGTGTCGGATACGATTTTCCTAGGGTTGACTGGACACTGGACGCGGGTTATCCAACTTTCAATAGTTTTCGTTCTGGAATCTGAAGTGTGTTTGACTCCTTGTTATCAGATTTATTTAAACTTAAAAGGTCCCCAGGATAAAATCCACTTTCTCTAGATAATCTAATCTCTAGATCTACTTCACAACGGAGTAGAAACTTGCCAATATGTGTATCTGATTCTTTTTTGGTCATACAGTATACAGGATCAGGGTCAGGAAGGAAAGTGAATTGCCCCTTTCCCTTCACTTTGAACATTGCTTGCTTGCCTTAGTAGATCTAGATCTAGATCTAGATCTAGTACAACTTGTCTTAGTATAGAAGGTATGAAATCTTAGACTTTTTAATTTCTAAAAGGCTCATTAGCTATTGTTGACAACTTCATATCGGCCGTAGATCTATTGTCTATTTGTTTTCATTTTGAAACATTTCAATAGAGGGATAAGCTGGGACTGCACTGCTGGTGGGAGGGGTGGGGGGGGGGGGGGCAGGACTAAAGAAAAAGACAAAGTAGGGAAGGACTTCCGTAATGAGCAACCACCCCATCAAACACAATAAAGAAGAGGCCTAACCCTAAACCAAACCCTAACCCTACCCCTACATCTAGAGATCTAGATTTTCCCCTAGCCCTCAATTCTGCTCTGTCTCATAGTCATAGTGGCTGTGGTCGCTCGTTCCGGAAGTCCTTTCTTTGATATTAGATCTTGATCTAAAAATAAACGAATTGGGCGGTGGGCTATTTTTTTTTACCAAGTGACTAGATCATCTAGATTTAGGGTTTTTGAAAGGGAGTGTATACAGACCCGGTAACCGGGAACAAAGTCACAAAGTGTGACAAAGTATACAGACCCGGTAGGGGAACTCTTTTGTGATTTCGGAGAGTTTCTGCGCCCTCTTGGCTCAGGGTAGACCTAGATTCTTCTAGATCTGTGGCCTAGGTCTAGATCTAGGCAGACAGACATAAATCTTTAATCTAGTTTCGCGGCTAGCCTAGATCTTAGATCTAGATCTAGTCTAAATGAAGATTGCGGATGTCTTTTCGATGAACAATCGTTTTTCCTCCGTTTTGGAGTTGGAGGAGTCGCAATTTGAAGAAAAGAACAATGTCATAATTTCAATCGAGCAGTCACCCTCTCTATTTCTCTCTCTCTCTCTCTCTCTCTCTCACACACACACACACACACACACACACTAGATTTCTACCGGGTCTGAGCACTGAATCTTCCCGAAATCACAAAAGAGTTCCCCTACCGGGTCTGTATACTTCGTGACTTTGTTACTGGTTACCGGATCTGTATACACTTCGTTTTTGAAATATTTGATTTTTCTTCAAGATAGGCCCTAGATCTAGACATGCTTTGGACTAATCGGGGGGTTCCATAGGAATAAAAGAAAATGTGGGGGATTACCAGGGGGCATGCCCCTGTTTTAACCCATAATTTGAATCTAAATTACCGTTAGATTTGAAATTTTCTTGAAAATAATTGATTTTCTACAGTTTTAGTGCCTTTATTTATGTTATGTCCATGCGTGAACCTTTTTTTTCTGGAACTGCAATCAGAAGAATGTCACTCTCTTACAATAGGCCTACAGTGTTCGAAAAATGTGTGTGCCTAAAGAAAGATACGAAAAGTCGCCACAGACCATTTTGAGGTACAGGCTGATAATGGCAAAAATCACTTTTTTGTGTTTGACAAAAATGACCTTAATGACTGGCTCTATTTCTCCGAACGCTGGGGAAAATAAACTTGAACTCTATTTCTCCGAACGGTTTCCATTCTCTAGATTTTTTAGGTATAATTTTGCGAATGGAGTGGCACGTATGTGCATGCGTGAGTGTATGTGTGTGTGTGTAAGGTGTGAGTGGGGGCGTGGTGGGGACTAAATCATACTGCATCACGCAAGGCGTTCTGCTTGTCTGCGCATGCCACACCCTCCCTACTCAGTCGCTCTGGCCTTCATTGTTGACACACATTGGCTCTCCTTTCTTGGTTTCGCTAGATCACCAACAAGTTTCTCAACTGGTGAGGTTTTTTAATTATGTATAGAGGGCTAAGGAACTCCTCTCCACAATGTCCTTTGTGGTTAGCTTCTTTATACTTATTAGATTGTGGACCTTTCTGAGCAGTCACTTCCTTGGCAGCACCTTCTACCATGACATTTTCAGGTTGAGTACAATATCCAACGACAAGAGAGTTATTCTCTTCTGGCTTTATCCGTTTTCTACTCACAATGCTATGTGGTTCTTCTTAAGACTGCCATGCTCACATGAGCCTGTTTCTTCCACAAAGTGATTGTATGATAGTATAAAACAGGAGCAATTCACACCTTCCAGCAAATATGTCCCTCTTGCATGACACAGAAACCAGGTTTGAAAGACGGGTCTGCATCTAAACCATCAATATAATCAGAACTTTCTGCAATACCACATCTTTGGGGACTCATGGACCTAATTAAAACTTTTACTAGTAGAAAATATTTTAAAAAGTGAATGTTTATAAGCTTACAAATTGAGCTAAGATACCATCACTTTATGGGTGCATGAACTTCAAACGCTGAAAGCAAGGATGAAATTTAAAGCACAGGTACCCAAACAACTTGTGTCTACTTGAACTACAGTCGAACCTCCTTTGACGGCCACCTCTATAAGACGGTCACCTGTACAAACGGCCACTCTCCGTTTCCCCCCTTGCGTTTTTTCTATATAATTTAACTGTGTAAAACGGGCAACTGTCCAACGCGGCCGCGGCCACCTTATTTCAACACACAACCCCTATCACACTAAGCAATAACACCCGTCTAAGACGGCCACCTTAGTGACTCCATTTCGTTTAGTCATAAATTGTGCTTTGGCCCCAGGCGTTGTGGGCAAGCCGTCATAATTCAATCCCCTGTCGCTGTTTTTAGGTAGTCCCTCCAACCGATCATGTTGCGTAGGCCCCTCCTACTGTTGACCAATAGCTACCAATTTTCAGCTGCTGGTGAGGTAAGCGTGTGATCCCTCATAACCCATAAGCTCCGCCCAGAACTTAAACACAAATCGTAAGCGAGATGAGTGGTCACTGTTTACCCAGTCTGTAACAAAGTAACAAAGGACGTCAACATGAACTTGTGACAGAAACGTCGCTCGTTCTCCGAGTGGTGGCGACCCAGGAGTTTGTTTTTACTTCGCACTCGGTCTTCCTTGTCTGATACATTTCGTTTTATTGTCACCCTTTTGCAAAATCAGCAACAAAATAAAAATTACAAACAAAATACAAACCACCACCACCAACAACAACAAAAACAACAATGCGGCTACTTTCGATTGTGACCTCTGATAGGAATAATTTGTTTTCTTCTTCTTGATCAGTCCTGCCTAAGACGGCCACCTGTCTTATACGGTCACTTTTCTCCTTGACAATGGGTGGCCGTCTTACACAGGTTTGACTGTATTGGTAAGGAAGTGTGTAAAAGTCCCACAATGATCCAGCGAAAAAGAATTAGCAAGATTACTAAACATGAAAGAGACACATCCCCCTCATTTACAAGTGAGAAAACAAAACGAAACATCTCATACCATGGCGTATATATTCTCACAAAGTGTTGTAACAAGGCATACGCCTCTATGTGAGATGCAGCTTCCTGCCCGAGAGCTATAGGGCTAAATGTTTTTGCTCGTAACTCCGCCATTTTTAAAGATATCAATACGCCGTTTTGAGAGAACATAGATCTCACTACCCGACATACTATGGTGGTGTTAACTCAAAACCGGTAATTTTGACGATACGCCCTTTTGTGAGATGGGCGACGAAATATTCTCTTGGGAATAATTTTGTGACGGGTATTTTTTAAAGAGTGTAAAACGAAAACTGCTTTTAAAAGGCGTTAAAATTTATTCTTGAAGCATGTTTTCAATTTTCTCTTCCCTGCTATGTTTTACCGTTGAATTCTAATCATGATGTGAGGGAACGTGGTGAAATCGGGCGCTCATCAAAATAATGAAATTATAGAAGAAACTGGCATTTTTGTCAGTTTGGTAATTTTTTTTATCGAATTTTTCTTTTTTGACTTAACACCATTGTTGTCCATTTTTTGGTGGATTTTACTGAAAAAATATTGATTAGAGGCACAAACAACGTATGTAAGATGTAAGTTTTCAGTTTCCACAGACTATCAAGCAATGGAAATAACCTAACTTTGGCGGTCATTTTCTCGCTAATTCTTCCTTAGAGACCAGGCAACCCCACTTTATTCAATCACAGATATCTTGACTTCTACTGAAGAAAAATGGGTATTTTTCACCAATAGCAAAACAACCTAACAAGTTTTAAAATGATAGGTCCACTATTTACTAATAACTCAACAATGCCCAAAAATTGACGAGCGCCTTATCCCACCACGTCGTGACACATATTGATGTCAACTGAATGCCAAATTGGAAATAAATTTTCCATGAATAAATACCCAGAAACAATTGAATCCTTGTCTTTTTTTTTTCAAGTTTGTATGTATCCTAAACCTAAAAACTAATTTTCTAAAAATTAGATCTATACCCTACCTCACAAAATGTGCAATATCTGAATAACTACTTGGGATATCCAAGGAGATTAAAAGTAATGGAGGATGCCCTGTGGGCGGCACCGCATGCCTGATAGGAGCCCCTCTCTCGCGGCGGAACTGTTTTCTACCTGCGCTGCGCGAATCCCCGACTCACACACTGAAATCTAGATAAGAAAGAGGGTTTTATTCCGAAGTCCTTGAGATTAGGCAAGTCAATTAATAAAACTGCCTTGCACCTGTGTTGTATTTAAGTGTAAGAACCGATATGATCCTGCAGTGGACCGAAGTTTTCACAGTTAAGTTGTTTTCCTTTTAAAAAATTTGAATGAAAGTGTTTTTATGCCCTAGCAATACAATTTAGATCATTAACATTCATAAGAGGCTGGCTCCGGCGCTACCTGCAAAGGCCAACCCAGGCTGAAAGGGATACAACACCTCTGCAGAAAGACCGAGATACTCAATTTTTAAAAAGTATTCTTATTCTTTTATAATATATATATATATATAATTATTATGTGTGTGTGTATGTATACATATTACATTTTAATTAAAGTTGCTTTCCATTGTGTGTGCAAATTAGGTGCTACTGTTGTCTAAATGTAGATATCTAGAGGCTCCATTAGAAATTAAATCAATACTCAACAACAATAATGATGAATATTTTCTATTTTAAAGAAACACCAAACCATATCGGATGAGGGGAGAGGGTAGGGTGGGGTGGATAAGAGTTTGAGTCTTGTTAGATATAACTATACTCGGTTTAATTCTATTGTTGTAGTCTTCACCTAAGATCCCACAATCAATAATTAGATTCACTTAAAATCTGCGGTTAAAAAATAAACCAAACAAAGCAACAACAAATTTTACTACAAAAGAGTCATCACTAAGATAAATTACCCCCCTCTGGGGTGTAATAAGGGACTAAAAACGCTACTCTCCGTATCATACTTTACTGAACAAAAAAAAAACCTTTCAAAGGTCATGCATGCGATCACACCTCCAAAGGTGCTGTTATCTCTTTTTTTTAAATATTTGAAATCATTGTGCGCTCCACTTTGTGAAAACCAGGAAACAAAATTATTGTAATCAATAATATTATTATTTATAGACCAAGACATACTGTTAGCAATCAGATAAAGCTGGCATCGACCCTCTTTTGTGTTCGCTATTCCTTACACATAAAGTTAGTTATGGCACATGCCTAGAATCATGCAATCATATCTTAAATTCAGTTTAAAAGTATATTTTTATCCATTTCATATAATTAAATATTTTAGCATTTTGAAAGATTATCTTTATAATTTGGTATGTTTGATAATTTTGTTACTCGGACAAGTTTTCTTCTTATTTTACACATCTTTTTGTCCAGCAGGGTGGGGGCGCTAGAAGGTGGATATGATTGTGACATTTTTGTATATCTGCTGACTTTCCACACCCGAAATGCTTGTGCCTACACCCTCCCCCAGACACGCGCACTTACAGCCACCCGACTGACCTTTCTTGACCCTGGCACACACTTAGACACTCTATGTCTTGCGCGTGTTAAAAACACTGGTGTTGGTGTGAAACAAAGGTTCTGATCAGATGCATAAGATGTACACAATAGGATAGGCTAAGCATGTAATGATCCACAGCACAAGTGCTATCAATGGTCTCTTGAAATAGAGAAGAGATTTTAAATAAGAACAGAGAATCTCTCCTTCCGTTGAATCTGTATATTATGTGAGAGTGTGTGTTTGTATGCGTGTGTGTACGCAGGGAAGCACCAAACCAAAGTGCCAGAATCTGGTCAATAAAGATATATTATGTATCTTTTCTACACATATGTAACAATCTTTTGAAAGTAAACATTTAGCTGTAGACGGTTGGAGGGTGCTCTGATGTGGTTTGTTCCCTTTTTCCTGACTATCAAATACCTGTCGTCCTTATTATCTCATTTGTGTGTGTGTGTGTGTATGTTACTCTCTAGTCCCACCTCTAATCTTTGTCACTTGTATAACCTAGATTTGTGTGCATGTGCTGTAAAACTTCCTAATAACTTTTTAAAACTGGCCCACGACAATATTATACCGTGGAACCTGTCCAAGAATCCACGATGGCATTGTAAGGGAGCAAGAAAAAATTTTCCACAGTGGACACAGGAATTTAGAGAGGAGGGGGGTATCCAAAGGGCCAACCGTTCTTCGTAAAATCACGGGTTGCCTGTCTTGTCGGCCAGCAGTGGTCAGAAGTTGCACACCAAGTGCTATCCTAGCCACTTTGATGATGGCATGCATTAAGTTATTCTTACTGATCCAGTGCCACACCACCATTGCTTGCATCTCGTTGTGACTGCTATTTGACCCATTAAAAACAGATAAGATTAAAATGTCGTCAATGTTTCCACCCTTATCCCCACCTAGCGATGTAAAGAATCAACCAATACCACCCAGCCCCTACATGTAACAACCATTCAGGGAACTTTTTCCTCAGTTGGTCATATGATCAGGGCAGTAAAGCACAATGGTCAACTTTCACTCCTACTCCATTTTCGGCTTGTGAAGATTTACCAGCATGGCCAGATGTATAATAGAGGAATTTAGCGAGGGGGAGCGGGAACATTCCGGCATGGACAGTTTTTGCTACGACAGACCCGACTGTATTAAGAGGTTTACAAGAAAGATTAAATGAGATATTGTTTGTTGAATTTGAACAACCAAAAAAGAACTTAAAATAATGCAGAATGGTTTTGAAGAGAACATTAAAATGAAAACTGTTTCTTTTTCTTCGGTCTCTCTATCTGTCTTTTTTTCTGTGCATGGTTTTCCTGTACGTTACAGCATTTGTTTACATGCCCGAATTTGCTCAACAGACTGGATTTATTTTTTACAGTCACAACACAATGGTACGTTGCAACAGGCAAGGGAGCTTAGTCAGAGACAGGAAGTTATAATTTGCTTCAGCGTAGATATTCTCTTGATTGGATACGGGAAAATAGTATACCTTATGCCATTGTGATTGATCATGACAATAAAACATCGTTGCAGTACATTTTAAAGAAAGGAGAGACCATTTTACAGATTATGGGCTTCCCACATGAGTCACCGTGGTTTCTCCCCTCTGTGCGTTGACTAAGATCCCGCTCGCCTCAGATGTCACTTTTCCTTGCTCCCAAGCATCGAGATCTTAGGTGGAGAATACTGTGGAGATAAATGGATGGGGGTGTTTGTACAGGTGGTCGTAAGAGCAGGTTCAGCAATATTTTGATTTCTGAAGGCCTCATGGGAATTTTTTTACCACATTGAGTCCTTTAGTTTGCAAAATTATCAAATCCCCTCATCACTTATCATTGTGTCATAGTTGCTTTCCTTTTTTAAAAATTTGTCCTTTGAGTACCTCTCTTTCCCCCATGAATTTTGTCAGTTTTTATGTACTCCTATTCTGCTGGTCTACTCAGGCTAAAAATAAAGTTTTTCTGTATTTCTCAGGTAAACATGGAAAATCAGATGGACATTGATTCCAGAAACTCGTCGCCAAGAAGTTTAAAGAGAAAGAGACTCAGCAATGGAACCAACAATTCTGTCAGCAATGAACAGTCTTCTGAAAATGGTACTGTCTGTAATGGATCTGCAGAAAGTGAAACTGCAGAAGAGGGAAAAGAAATTGGTGATGTCCCAAAGGAGTCGAGCAACAAGCCTGTTGTAAATGGAGATTGTCATTCACCTGGTGATGGTAAAAATAAAGATAGCCACAAGAATAGTGAGGGGGATGCTTCAGACACAGCTGACAATGAGACTAGTCTGTCTGATAAGAAGTCCTCCATAAGCTCTGCTGTGTCGGGTTCTAGTGCTGAAGAGGATTCAGAAACTATTATTACAGACAAGCAGGCGAAACAGATCTCAGGAACAAGTGAGACAAAAAGTGCAGAAGATTCTAAAACTGGACGCTGTCTCTCAGAACCAACGGCCGTTGGTGAAAAGACAGAAGAAAATCAAGTCAAAAGTAAATGGAATGGTACGGACAAGAAGGCTGCAGATGTATCTGTGGTGAGCAATGGTCCCAGTGTGACTGTTTCTGATAAGTCAAAGAGCTCTCTTCCAAAGGATGAAGATTCAATGAACAATGATGACATTGAAATTGTTGGAGAATCAAAAGTTATAAACATGAATGGACCGTTTAGCTCCAGCTCATCTCCTCAAAATGTTGTGTTTGTGCCCGCAGCTGTTTCAAACAGTATTGCCACACTCCCTCTTATGACTCAAGGATTTCAAGCCAGCCTTTTCAGTCAAAACATGCTTCCTGCAGGTCGAGGCGTCGCTGGTCTCATGCCAGGCCATGCTTCAGCTGGTATGGGATCTCTACCCTCTGGCTTTATGCTCTCCTCAGGAGGGCTTCAAGCTCAGAATGCGGTCCCTACTTCCTCTTCCAACATATCTGTTATGGCTCCAGCTGTAGCTCCCCCGAAACCAAAATCTAGTCTCGATCAGATTGAGTTGATTCGCTGGGAAATTCACAATCGTGTCAATACACGCCCCAAGTACTTCAAGCCTAACCCATCGTCAGACCTTGGCCCACTTGCAAAGTTTCTCTTTGACATTGGATCTGATTTGATCAAAGAATCTGTTTATCATGAGCTTGTGAAAATTCAGTCAAAGAAACATGATGAAGAGAAGCTAACTGAAAAAGAGAAGGAAGATTTAGAAAAACTGAAAGAGATAGAGAAAGATTTATATGCTACAATTGGTCACCTCAAGCTGAAGATGAAGAAGCGTTGCAAAACGTGCCACTTTCAGACAGAATCTACGAATGTTCTCTATTTGCATAAGCAGTTCCCACATGAGGAGAACAAGCTTCTTCATTGCTCTCATTGTAAATTCACTTCCAAGCAGCCAATGGCATACAAGTTTCATGTTGAAGCTGAGCACAATATCCAGCCAAGAGTATATGATAAGAAAGCCTTTTATGAATGTGATATGTGTCCATATGAGAACAATCAGGAACAAAAGGTGGTCTTACACAAACAGAGGTGTTTGAAACAGTTCAGGCCACACTTCAATCTTCACCCAAGTTGTCTTTCGGGTGCTGAAATAAATTTGTGCCTAGAAAATATCTTCTACAAGCCTGTCGTCCCAAAGAATTTGAAACTATTGCAACAGAAACATGCTCAACAACAAGCAGCTCTAGCAGAGGCTCGGAGACAGCAAGCTCAAGTTCAAGCATTGGCTGCCCAGAAAAATGCAGCTGCTGCTGCTGCTAAGAAGCAGCTCGCCAATCAGCGGCTCCCCCAAGCTATAGCCCCACGGCAGTTGCAGGGATCACAAATGAACAGGTTGCCCTCACAGTCTCGGGGCCACCAGCAGTCGATGCGTTTCAACGAGAACAGTGTACCTAAAGGTGTGCGACCCACTGTGGCGAATATGCTGAACAACAGACAAAACATTCCAACCCATGGACCAGCACAGCACGGATCAGCCAATACAGCTGGGGGGTTTGAGGTTTGTGAGATTTGTGGAGGATATGTGAAGGACCGCAAAGCATTGAGGATTCATTTCTTTTATGCCCATCGCATTGATCTTCCATTTAATTTGTTTGAGCGCACTCAAGCCCCTCTCTACTGTGCCACATGCTACGTCAGATTTTGGACCGCTCAGGGCCTGCGTAAACACATTGACACTCATAAAGAAGAAAACCAAACACAAGGTGTTGTTGGCAAGTGCATTTCCTGTGGTCATCAAGTCTTGAATCTGCTTCTTCACATGCGCATTGTTCACAACCGAGAGATCCAGCACTACATCAATGCCCTGATGTGCATGTTTTGTGGAAGTCATTTTGGGTCTCGAGCTGAAGTAGAACGTCATATTAAATTTATTCACGGCAACATTGATCCAATCTCTGGTGCCATTAAAGGTAAAGGAAGTCCAAGTGTTCAGTCGTCGCCACAGCAGTCTCAGAAAGGTTCTTCAAAGCGTTCAGGAAACTCAGCACCCTTGAAAGGCAGTGTTTGTGTCCTGTGCAATCTGAACTTTGGACGCAATGTTGACCTCACTCGCCACTGCATGAGAATGCACCACACTTGCATGAAGTGTGGAATGGTCGTGATTGACAAGGCCTCTCTTATGAAGCACACTTGCCTCTCCTCACCCAGTGGAACTCGCAATTGTGCCATGTGCGAGGAAACTGGATTCCATCCTGCCTATTTTGTGAAGCATCTGAGAGACAAGCATCTCAAGAAGTTCTCAATCAAAATTGCTCGCTTATCAAAGAATACAATTGAGAGATGGACAAAACGCCCTTTCAATGTCCAGGAACCAGAGAAAGTCCTTGTGGAAATCTCTGATTCATCGGATGATGAATGCGGAAGTGACAAGCCAAGTGTGACACCACCACTTGTTGTTACCAAACATGGAAAACGTCCCCGCATGGGACCAGCATCATTCATCAAAAAGTATCGTGAAAAGTTGGAAGCTGAAAAAATCAGAGACGCCGAGGTTGTCAAAATTGATGATGATAATGAAGAAATAGCTGCAGGTCCTAAAACTGAAGACAAAGACAGAGAAACAGAAAATGCTAGTGAAAGTGAAAGAAAGGGGGCTCTCGATGTTGGTGAACCAAAAAAATCTCCTGGTCCAAAACGAAAAATGGGACCACTGTCCTCATATGAAAGGGCTGCGAAAAGGAAGAGGTCGGCATAAGGCTTTAGCTCATTTTTTGACTCATTCAAAACAATGAAAATATATCGGATACAGTGGCCTCACTCTGACCCTTTTGCAAAAACTAAATGTCTCTTGAGAACAGACATATATCTTCCTATGGGTACCGGTACAGCTTGTCTTGAAAAATGGCACACATGATGGCCAGTCACTACATGTATTTGTATATTTCTGTGTCACCCTGTGCGAATTTTAAAAAAATGTGTATTTATACATTTTGCTTCTGCCTCTCAGTGCTGGATCAATTTGATAATGTTTCTTTGTTAGAAGACATGTTACAGTAGTAGCAATTTGCTTGAGTCACTGTTATTTGAAGCACTTGACCCAGTAATTTGGGTTCATGTCCTGCCTATAGTTGTGCACATTGTGTTGATTATTGAATAAACCAGTGCCTGCAGGTTAGATGAAGGGTGAGTTGATGGATTTTTGTACATTATCGTGCAGTTCAATTTGAATGACTATAAACAAAACTTAACTGTATTTGATGGAAATGGTCAGGTGTAGCATTTGTCTTTCGCTTTAGGGGTATTTAAATATGCATCAGAGTAAGAAATCCATTAGAAATAAAAATGATTCACAGTGATTGGTATTATTTAGTCCAGTCTTTTGCCTGTATTTTTATTTTCCCCCTGCACACACACACACACACACACACACCTTGTTTTTTTTCTATTTTGCTTGGTCAGGTTTTATAGAGTCTTTAAAAATAAAATTTTGATTTAATTACAGAACACCAAGTAGGGCCTACCAGTACTGCTTTTTCCTGCACCAGCAGTTTCTGTCTGCAGTTTGGTGTTGGTGTAATAGGCTAATAACTGTCATTTGGGCACTTAAAATTTCTTAATTTTCTGTAAAACAAAAAGAATCTTTTTCTGTCAATGTCACTGCACCTCATTCCATTTTTCCTTTAACCTTAATGTGAAATACAATCCATAAAAGCATTGCTTTTTCCCCAAGAGACCAAATTTTGGTTATGTAAATATTATTTAAAATGATGGTGATCTGTTGTTAACGTGTTTTGGAAATGGTCTTCTCAGTGTTGTACTATATGATGTATATTGTTAGTCAAATGTTCATATTACTGCTATTATTTATTGCATGAACTTGAATGCCGGTTCTGATCACATTGAATTTAAATTTAAGTCATCTTTTGAAATATTGTTTAATGACAAGTAAGATCTGTATGAATTTTTTTTTAAAGTGGAGTGTATTTTCTGTTTGTGCTGTAACTTTTGTGTTGCTAGATGTTGTATGAATCCATATCAAACCTGAATTCTTCATATTTTACATCTAGTATTTCGGGCTTCTGTTTATAAAAAAAAGTGACAGGTTAAACCTTTGCAGAAGGGTTGATTATCAAATCCAATACCAGTTGACATTTATTTCTCTGCTAGTTGTGCGAGATTACTGCCCTGCCCAGCACGCAGACATTTGGCTAGATTGTCTCCTTTCATTGATGATACAAACAAGTTTTATTATTGCCTTAATATGATGTAGATGTGTAAGCTGTCATCTTGTCAAAAATAAGATTTTGATACAGTAATTATAGATTCGATAATCCAAATTTTTATGTATATGGCTGAGAAATATTCAGTGACAATGCATGATTACCGCCTTGTTTCAATGACATCCCGAAATCAACTTGGTTGTTGTTTTTTTTATAGTGTAGGTCAGTGAAGAGGACAGACTGATTGTTACGTGTGTTTGATTAAGTGCCTTTTGTATACTGGCATCATTGGTGGCATTTTGAGAGGTAAGCTATAAACTTTTGAAGTTTGCCTAAATGGTCGAAGTGCACAATCAGTGCTTCTTTTGAGCAGCTTTTTTGCTGAATTTGATGGGGAAAAAATTGAATGGATGATAATAATGAAGGACCCAGGTGTGGACAACAATTGTGTGGTGGTAGCTGGAGGAATGCTGATTTCATGTTTTAAAGATGCGAAAGATCCCATGTGGTTTGGAAAGAGTGTTAATTAGTGTCACAATATTTCCTTGATCGTACCGGTTTATATTACTGAGTGGCCAATGTGCTTTCTAGCAAGTCATCAGTCATATTTAATCAGCCAAATGAATGTTAAACATTTATGAGTTAATATTGTTATGATATTTATTTTTTTTTACAATCAGTGTGACATCATTCATTATTTGGTGGTGTATATATTTGTCAGTCATTGACCTTTTTGTGTAGGTAGATGTTGGGGTCTAGGGCTACACGCTATTATTTTGGGGTATAAATTTTTAGCGATAGTTTCCACAGCAATTGCCCCATCCTTCTACGAGTTTTTTTTTTTAAAAGTAATGCTTCAGAAAGTCTTGCCATCCAAAGTGAATGGACCTGCATCCTTTAGTTTGTATTTGATACCTCACATTGATGATGCCTTTTTTTAAAAATGTCATTCTGTTATGGTTGAACTGATTGTTATTAGATATAGCTGAGGTTGTACTGTTCAAACACAATTTTTGATCTACAGGAGAAAATTTGTATAATTTGAACTCTGTTTCCAAAAGTATTGGAAATGACTGACTATGCTGTGAATGTGAACAATTTTCAAAATATATTAATTTCATGAGTTCACTCCCCTCATCCTGAGTGTTGGCTTACTTGCTACCTGTTTTGCACACGTTTCAAAATGTGAGGCTGTTTTGCATTTCTTATTCTTGTCATGGGTGTGGGGGAGTTTTTTTGGGGGGGAAGATACTAAGTGTTAACAGTAATAATAGTAAGCTTGATGAGACAAGAATTGAGAACAAAATTTTTAACTGGCTTCAGACTCATATCTTTAAATTATGTTATGGCATTCCCATCGCTCTGTTGCCATTTTTTCTCTTTGTCATGTTTTTGTACGTATTATTTAAAATTGAAAAATTAAAGCTGCGAGAATAGTAGGCTACCTTGAACTTGAACCCCCCAAAAAGTCAATGGTATCAAATGGAAAAGAAATTATTTGATTGCCCCCATCTAAAACTAAAATTAAAATTTTCCATTAAAGATAACTCCTTCCTGTAGAGACAATAGTGCCTTTTCCCCCATTTGGCAGAGACTGAAGAGGTTTTTGTTCTGGGCAAGCTTTTTAAGTGGGGGACTGATTCTGATCCTATCAGTGTGCTCACTATTCTCTAAATAGCATGCAGCTTTAGATTACTCCAGCTGTTGTGTACAGTTGTGTCTCACAGGGACCAAACATTTGTTTTCTATTTTTATGCTTTTTTCAATCATGAGAAAAATTTAGTCGATACCTCTTCGCTCTGTTTGTGTCATCTCATTACCTTTGTGTTGATATCAAGAAAGAGATTAACCGACCTAACTCTGGAAAGGGAGATTACGTTTGAAAATATCCATTCTCTATCATGTTTGAAATAATTGACTTTGCTCTGTTAAATTTGTTTTCATTACGGTACATAATTGAAGTGATTGCTCTTAAATCCAAAGTTTAGTTTTAGCTGAGATCACAGTCATTCTTGAGTTTTATATGTTTATAAAAATTATGGTGAGGGTCCAAGCATTCTGTTTATAATTCATTTCTACTTTCCAAAAGTCCTGACTTGGCACTCGTTTGGATCTGTTGTTTTCACAAATATGCCTGAATTTTTTTTACCTTGTTCCTTCTTACTTAGACCCTGATAAATATCAACTGTGCTTATTAGGTGAAATTTGAAAAGTTCCCATTTAATTATTTGGGCCTAAAACTTGATATCGGTACACATTTTATTTCCTAGCCTGTCCCATTAATTCACTAGAACCTATTCCCGTGTATTTATAGGACGCACTGGTGCCTGGTGGCCTTATCCCGTGTATTTACGGAAATTACTTTAGCTGTTGATATCTCAGGTGTTTTTCGGTTAGATGGTATGGGAAGCAGTAAGCCCACAGTTGAGCCACTTGTTTCATTCCTTTAAAAATTAGATGAAGTCAAGTGCAATAGGCCTACTTGTTTAACTGCAAGGAACTAAGCCGGACACCTCCGCATTGCGGTAGAAGCTCTGTGAACGGGAACAAAGCCGCAGTCGTTTTTAGAGACATAAATGAAACATGTTTGAAGTGTTTAAAGGGTCTGATAGTGGACTAGAAGGCTTAAGCTCCCACAATGTTCCTCAAAACTTACTAGAAGCTGCTAGATCTATGAATGGGGCTGTAGTTCGGGGAGTTAGGTGAAAGTAGGAATCAGAATAGCTTAGGAATCAGAATAGCTTTCTTCTTCTTCCAAGTCTAGTGGAATAGTAGCAGTAAATCTATTCTATTAGTTGCAGGTATAACAATACCCAAGGTGAGAAAAGTCTTAGTGTGGACTTCAGACAGCACGATAGTAGCAACAGGATACTGTCGCACCACTTGCAAAATGCATCACATGTACTCCTACTCATGAGACTTGATTTTATGCTTCCACAATTTAGCTGCTTGTATGTGGTTTCTGAGTTACTCAGAAAATGTTCTGTAACACAGAGAAAAGTAACATGAACACTCTGTGCAGACAGTTATTTTTTGTTACATTATTTTATTACAAATTGGGCGCTAAAAGGTTGTTTTTTTAATTGTGTAACCCCCCAGGCGCTACCTTTTTAAAATATTACCTTAATAAAATAAAAACTCTTCAGGCAATTTAGATGCAGTTTTCATTTTATATGAGAGCATTTTTTTCTTTTGTTGCATTATTTTATTATGATAGCTTTCACAATCTTGACATGGTTAACAATTCAATATACCGGCAATATACCCCAAAATTGTCAGGCTTCAATAGTTGTTGGGTGAAAAATAGCTCTTGTTCAAGTGAGTTATTTGAGCTTGTCGGAGCATCATTGGCCTTCTTTCCCATCTCTCATTGTAAACCTTTTGTGAACAAGCTGATTGCTCATTACAATTCAGTGAGGTGTTAGCGAAGTATATACACACAAACATTAAGTTTACCACAATTTTTTTTCTTTCTATTTCTGTCTCATGCTCCCCTTGGTTTCCTGTCTGTTTTTTGTTTTTTAAACCTTGTTTGGATTGACATTTACTGAGGGCATGTTGTGAGTCTGTCCTTCCAATTTATGTAGCGTTTCTGTAAGCTGAAAATGCAAACCTCGGCTTTACTGTGACTTGACAAGACATGTTTTTTTACTCTTCTTGTTTTTGGAACAAGGGTGTGGTATACTTTTTTTTCACCTTTCATACCTTAAAACTGATTGATATCACCCTGTTATTGATTATATTGAAGGGCAATCATCAAATTATAGGCTATTGCCATGTTTTCCTTCTCCTTTTTTGCTTGAACTTGGAAATAATGGAAGGAGGTTCAAAATCGTGTATTCCACTTAAATGTGACAGCCCTGCATGCAGTTATCATCTGATGATGATACTTTTATGCAGTGTAGTTAATACAGTAATCTAGTCATCAGATTTGGAGAAGGGTCCAACATTTATGTATCACTGATCACAGATGACAGTTTGAGACAATGCGCTTTTGTGTTAATTTTCTAGTGTTGCCTGCACAATGCAAACAGGATTCAAGCTCGAAGGGTTGTTACTGCTTTCTCAGAAGTTCCATTGATTTTTAAAGTCTGATATGGAGTATTACTGTTCCTCGGTGGGGGGTGGGGTAAGAGTGCACAATCACGAGCAAGACGCACGTGTGTTTGTATGTATGTATGGGGGG